CGCGGAGGGAGGGTGGGGGCGCAAGGCCTTGGGCTGGACTGGTGGTGGCCGACCGCACTATTAAATGCCAAACTAGAGCGGGCCCGGGGGCAAGTTTCCACGTGGGGTCACCGATCAGAAGGAGGCTCGAGCATCTGCTTCTCGTGGCACATTTGGGTCATGCTATTTTAGATACTGCTGCTGAGCCGTGACCAGCTGGCTGTCGTCGAGGGCCGTGACCTCGTGGCCGAAAGAGACTGCCGCAACAAATGCCCGCGTTGTAGATCTTGCGCGTATCCCCTCCAGCTCTCCTGGTGGCTCCAAATCACCTCATCCTCTTCTTGAGTATGTCAATCCTGGTCTTAGCAACTCTATCCTTTCTCCACCTGCGCTGGGGGGGCTCCTGCTGCGGTCTCGCAGCCGAGGTTGGGTCCCGAAATGTCCGTTGTGCTGCCTGCTCGAGCTCGCAGTCTGCGCTGTACTTGGCGGCGCACTTGGTCTGAAGACGCGAAGAGCTGAATCTTGGCGGGAGCGATCTTGCTGTCAAGATCGGTCTGGATGCTATCTAGCAAGCTCTGGGTGCCGCGGCTCAGGCGGCTGGCGATGCGGCAGATCTTGTAATCGTGATTCTTTAAGAGGGTATCGTCTATGAGCATGTAGATGTCTACATCGGGGTTCGGCTGGGTCCAGGAGTCCAGGGGGTCTATCGTGTACATCTGTATGAGGTATGTAGCAAACCCACGCTCCGCGGCTATGTCATGTACTGTGTTACCCACCGACACCACCAGGTCCTGGAGTCCAACATATCGGGGGCTTGCGTAAATACCCAGGATGACCCTGAGGAGGGTGGCGGGGAAACCACTGCGAAAGGGTTCGGGCAGCAAGCTTTCTGCGGTTATTATGTACGTAGTAGTTGCTGGGGCCGTAGAGAGCCATAACTGAACGTACTTGTTCGTTACGCTTGGGGCAGCACTCGCAATCAAGGCTCTGCTTGAAAAATTAGCTCCACTATGGAATGACCTGCTTGGTGGGTGAGGAATGGGCGCCTGCGATTCCTTTCCCATTCTCTCGCTGCTGACTGTCTTACTCTAGCCCAAGCTCGATGCAGGCCTGACACCATTCCGATCGGTCTCATTGCTGGTCTCGTTGCCTGCGGATCTTGCTGCTTGTGCTTCATGCTAAGAACTGAGATTATTGCCTGCATCTGCGAGGGCGTGAGACCTAGGCTCTCGATGAGGAGCAACAGCTGCGCGACAATGTCTGCCTGCTGCTCGGTGGTGAACGTGGGGTGCCTCGGGTGGGCTCCGTCCCACGTTGAGGCTGTCGTCACTGAAAAACTCCTGAAGGGTCTTGCTTCCTGAAGGGTCTTGCCGTCCATCGGTCCCAAGGCTTTTCTGTCATCGATGTCCCTTGGAACTGGATTATCTTGTGGCTTGTCCGAAGTGTCCCAGATACTGGCAAGTCGGTCGGCTTCACCTTCTAGAGTGCTGCTTGGGCGACCTGACCATCGTCCCTTGACGAGTGTTGATGCTGGCTTCCAGGCTTCCAGGCTCCTCGTCCATCTGTGGGCCCAGCCGACTCCTCCCTGCAGGGAACTTTGGACCCACGAAGCCCAGGCTTTGGCCGATTCGGAATGTTGCTGTTTCCGCTCGTTGTCTATGGCTCGGTCCAGGTCCTGAAGTATATCGTTTATCGCCTGGTCGGCTGTGCCCGCGGCTAGCACTCCAGCTGCTGCGTCTGCAAGGAGGAGTTCTCCTAGCTGCACTGCTGTCGCCAACAGCTGCTTCAAACATTCGACCGGTGCAAACTCCTCTGGCGAGTCCTGCAGGCCTGCCATCAAATGCTCTAGCTGGTTAGTGTCCGCCTTCGAAACGACGCAGTTGATGTCGACGAGACGGTTTCGAAGCCATCGAAGTGGGGCCCCGAGAGACTTCCAACCAACGCAAACTTTAGTCTCACGTCTTTGGGCTCGTGCCCATTTGACCACTGGGGGGCTCGCACGTGGGGCCGCAGTGTCCAAGAGGGGTGTCCGGGTGGCAGCTGGGGGACCGCTCAAGGTCCTTAACCACTGTGAAGTAGCACTAATCCGAGATGGCCTGGCGCTGGTTCCGAGAGGCGTAGCCGCATCATGAAGCGAAGCATTGGTATAGCTAATCGCACTTTCGCTTTGGGTCCAGCTGGTTGGCCTCTTAGAAGGGCCGAACGGCTTGACTGAAGGAAGACGCTGGGGCTTCTTCAGGACTGGCACAAGAAAACTATCGTCGCCTTGAAAGTCTAGACAAACTGGCCTGCGAGGAGAAAGCGGGCACCTGGTCCAAGTCTGAACTTTCTCCGCCCACTCGCCCAGGGTTTCGCTGATCAGGAAAGAAATCCAGAACGTTGCTCGATTTGGCTTCCCGACGCGTAGGTCCCACTGGGGCCAGAATCTTCAGAGAGGCCCTGTTCAACAAATCCGCGGATTCGATCTTCTCGGGGGACAGGTTGAATCCCCCGCCACGATGATGGGTAGACGGAGTCTGTCCTGTGGGACAGCAATGTCTGCGAGCAGGCCCAGGTTGGTCTTACCTAGGCCCTCTGAGGCGAGGAAATGCGTGCTCATGAGGCCTACCTTCGGCAGGCCTGGGGCCTCCAGGCAGACACCTGCAAGGCGGCCCCTGTCAACGCGGCTCTCGAAGTGCATCGGCTCAACCCCGGGTCGAGCCCGTCGCGGACGAGGATGGCCACTCCGTTGACGCGCTCCCCGCTGTCATTGAAACTAGCTGGCGGGATGTGTGCCGGCCATCCCCTCCGCTGGCGCCACTGGGCCTTCTGGGCAATGATGCCCCCATCGCATAGCCTGTGTTCCTGGGCGCAGATCAGCGTCACATCATTCACCCACTGCGACTCAACGAACTGCTCGAATGTTGGCCAGCAGCTGCCATTGAAGGTAACTTGCTTGATGGTGTCAAAGAGGCGACATATCTTCTCCTGGTCGGCCAGCGCTTGTGGCCTCGCGGAGTCTCTTGGCCGCCTCCTCGCCCTTATTCTGCTCCATGGTGTTGGCGACCTCACCCAGGGCATGCTTGTCGCGGTTGCCCCGGCCCACGATGGCCATGGCCTCGTCCTCCTCCTCTTAGTCTGGCCCAACTGGTTTGGCCATTCCACCCTGCAGACTCTCTGGCGCTGGTGCCGAAAAGGGCGGTGGATGCTGCGTGGCTGGCAGCGGCGGGGTCGGCGTTGGCGACGGCGATGCGCTGTCCGCCACTGCGCTCTCGCGCAGCTTCTTGAGCTGGTCGACGGTGTTGGCCGGGTCGTGCACTTTAGCCTGCGGCGCTGGCGGGGCGATTCCTCCTTGCGGGATCTTCGCCTGCGGCGCCGCGTGGACCATCTCTTATATGTCTGTGTTCTCGGATGCCTGCTGCGCAGCCGCGTGGGCCGCCATGGCCCTCTGCGCCTCGAGCTGCTGCAGCTCGTCCTTCGTGTCCGCGAGCTCCTTGGATCTCGTCTTGCACTGGGTGGCCGGGGGTGTGATCTGCGCCGCGATGTCGGTGAGCTCGTGCTGCGAGCCCTCCACTTTCTGCTTGGTGATCTGCACTTGGTCGCGCAGCGACTGGGTCTGCTGGTCGAGACTCTTGCCTCGCAGCGCTTCCATCCTCGCATGCTTGAGTATCTCCAGAGCGTCGGCGTGCTCTTTTCCCTGCGCCCCAACCCACTTCGTCCAGAAGGCGACTTGGGCCTGAGACAGTGCGACTGGGTCAGGTTGGGCGGGGGCCCCTGGATCTTTGGCAGGCGATTGCTGGCGCGGTGGCGACTCTTCCTTACTGTCATCCTCAAATCGAACTCGAGGTTCCCAAGCAGCTCCTCTGCCCCCTCGGCCACTGGCGCGGGGCGGGCGGGGGGGCTGCCTGCTGCTCGCTCGACTCCGTTGGCCGAGGGCCTGGAGGTGCGAGCCGCGCTGCGAGCAAGCCTTGGCAGGCGCCCATTCCCACCCGCGGCGCTCGGCGCGGGGGCGCACCAGGTACTTGCCGCAGGAAGCCATGGCGCAGCGCTGACTAGGGCGAGCGTGCCAAAGAAGAGTCTTGCTGGAGAGATCGCGGTTGCGGGCGGAGCGCGGGCCCCGGACCGACAGGTGCTGAAATCCGAAGGCGGGGTGGGCCCGAGGCAGGGGCTGCCCTGCCGCACTCGGAGGCCCGCTGTGGGCCGGCTCGCCTCGAGCCAGCCCCTCGGCTGCAGGCGAGTACGAAGCCGCAGGGCCACGGTTTCGCACTTGAGCCAATGGCTACGGGGAGGAGGAGGAGGAGGAGAAGGAGGAGGAGGAGGAGGAGGAGGAGGCGCAGCAGCAGCAGGAGCAGGAGGAGGAGGAGCAGGAGGAGGAGGAGCAGGAGCAGGAGCAGGAAGGGGAAGGGTTGGAAAAGAGGAGCAGGGCGAGGAGGACGAGGAGGAGGAGGATGAGTGGGAGGAGGCGGAGCAGGCAGTGGGAGGCAAACGAAGAGCACGAGAGGGAGGAGAACGACGGGGGAGGGGGACGGGGAAGAGTAGGGTGAGGAGTAGGAGGAGGCCGTTGCCGCGTCGGCTCAAACAATGGTGGCTCGAGTCAACGATTTCCTCAAGGCGGCTCCCAGAGGCCGTTCCGCAACGCGGTGGTAAGCAGGCGCGCGGCCGCGCCGCCGACGTCGGCGCGCCCCTCGCGCTCGGCATTTTGGGCATTTTGGCGCGCTTCCGGGTCGGCCGGCCCGCAGCCGTGCCCGAGGGCCAAATCCAGTTGGTGGGCGTCAGCAACTTGGGCGCGCCCATCATGCAGTCGCAGTGTGTCATCGCACTATTGGCTCTGCTCGCGCGGCTGCAGGTGGGGGCCGCGCTCGCGGGGCCTCGGCAAGCGCTGGGGCCGACCGCGGAGCAGGCCGCGCCAGGCCGCCAACCAGTCGCCGTTCCAGCGGCGCGCTCGCCAGTAGAATGGCAGGCGAAATCCCACTTTGCATGCGGGGGCTTCGCAATAAGAGGCCCCATTGGTTCCCGCGCAATTCAGCGCGCCCCCCCATCGAAGCCCTTTAGCCCATCGCAAGCGGGGGCCTTCCCTGGGCCAGCGCGTCCTGGAGCAGCAGTCGCGGCGTTTCCTTTGAGCGGGCAGCCGCAATCTTCCAGGTCGCGACGAGCCGCGCCAGCGCGTCGCAGCCAGGGCGGCGCTCGTGGCCCATGCGCCGCGCACGGGCGCCCCGCGGGCTACCCGTGGCTCTGACTGGGCGTGTGTGAGCGTTGTCGTCGCGAAGTGGCCTCGGCCTCCAGACTTCGCCTCCGCCGGGGCCGACGCGCGCGCGGGCGCGGCAATTAGCCGGTTCGTTGACGGCCAGGGGCCTGCGAGCCCAGAGGGCGCGAACGGGAAGGCGTTTCACATTTTTCTCCTTAAGTCGCTCACGACGGGACTCTCTATAGGGTTCTCAGCATGTTGTTCTTTTTCGCGCAGCGGCCCAGACAGCGCGGCGCGCCCGCCGTTGAGCGCGCGGCATGGAAGCCGCGCAGGCGCGCGCAGGTTGGTCTCGCATCACCACCGGGCACTCTCAAATTCAAAGGAGGGTACCTGCACAAGGGCCCGCGGCATGGATTGAGCTTTGAATTTTCACATGGGTTCCCGCGCCGCAAATGTTCAGCTGCCTCCGATGAGACGCGCAGCGAACAAGTTTTCCCGCGCAACGCGTTGTCAGTTGGACCCCCCGGCCGCGGATGCCCAATGGGATTCCCGCGCGATGGGTTGCCAATTCAATTCGCGCGCGCTGGGTTTCCAATGGGGCGCCTACACGATGGATTTCCAAACCTAACCTTCGTGTACTATTGGCTCTATAGCCCCTGTATTGATTTGTTACTAGCAAACGGCGAAAGCGTGTGCGATTATAATCCTAGTATTCGTGCGCAATCTCTCTGTGGCTCCTCGGGGCGATTCCCATCAACTTCCTAATGAGTTATATGCTGCTTTTAATCGAAGTTGTAGGCAATTCCAATGGTACTTGAATCGTATTGGATACGTACTCAATTTGCATGACCGCCCAAGCAATCCTGACTCCGAACCCGGACCCGAACCCTGACCCATTCATTCTTAGTATACTCGAAGGTAAGGTTTGGCCCTGGTAGTAGCAATAGCAATCGTAGCCGTAGTGGGTGCAGTCGTCGCCGTAGCCGTCGTAATGGTAATCGTATAACTAATAATACTACGGGTAGTCGTAATAGTAATGATAGGTGGTGCTAGTCGTAGTGGTCGTAGTCGTACGGGTCGTAATAATAATAAACTAATAGTTGGGGTAATGGTAATAATGAAAGTAGTCGTGATATTAATCGTAGTCGTAGCTGTCGTAATAGGGGTAGTCGTAGTAGTAGTCGCAGTTGTCGTGCTCGTAGTAATCGTGGTAGTAGTAGTAGTAGTAGTAGTAGTAGTAGCAGTAGTAGTAGTAGTAGTAGTAGTAGTAGTGGTCGTAGTAATTGTAGTAGTAGTAGTAGTAGTAGTAGTAGCAGTAGTAGTAGTAGTAGTAGTAGTAGTAGTAGTAGTAGTAGTAGTGGTAGGAGCAGTAGTAGTACTAGTCGTAATCGAAGAAATCGTAATACTAATAAGACTCCGACTCATAGTCGTAGTCGTCGTAGTAGCCGTAGTAGTAGTAGTAGTAGTAGTAGTAGTAGTAATAGTAGTCGTAGTAGTAGTAGTAGTAGTCGTCGTCGTCGTCGTCGTAGTAGTAGTAGTAGTAGTAGTAGTAGTAGTAGAAGAAGTAGTAGTAGAAACAGTAGTAATAGCAGTAGTAGCAGTAGTAGTAGTAGTAGTAGTAGTAGTAGGAAGAAGAAGAGTTGTAGCAGAGGTAGAAGTAGTAGTAGTAGTAGCAGTAGTAGTAGTAGTAGTAGTAGTGATAGTAGTAGTAGTAGTAGTAGAGGTAGTAGTAGTAGAAGTCGTAGTAGTAGTCGTAGTCGTAGTCGTAATCGTAGTAGTAGTAGTAGTAGTAGTAGTAGTAGTAGTCGTCGTCGTAGCGCAGTAGTAGTAGTAGTAGTAGTAGTAGTAGTAGTAGTAGTAGTAGTAGTAGTAGTAGTAGTAGTAGTAGTAGTAGTAGTAGTAGTAGTAGTAGTAGTAGTAGTAGTAGAGTAGTAGTAGTAGTAGTAGTAGTAGTAGTAGTCAGTAGTAGTAGTAGTAGTAGTAGTAGTAGTAGTAGTAGTAGTAGTAGTAGTAGTACTAGTAGTAGTAGTAGTAGCAGTAGTAGTAGTAGTAGTAGTAGTAGTCGTCGTAGGAGTAGAAGTCGAGTCGTAATAATAATACTAGTCGTAATTAGGGTGGGGAATCATTTGGCCACGCGCACCCCAATCATAACAGGTCACGGGCCAGGGGTGAGACTGTTGGCTTCCCTCCGAATGGGCCATGCAAATCATTTTGGAGGGGGGGGCGTGTCAGCCGTCACCTTGTCACGCGGGGGAGCCCTGATGTTTGCGTTTGTAAAGATAAATGAACCCGAGTGGCATCGAAATGGTGCCCAATGGGATCTAGGAGAATTCCGTTGGAAATAACAATGCTTCAAATTACCCAGTGACGTACCCAACCCATTTGTATCATGGGAAACGGGGAGTTGGCCGAAACTTGCATGGACAATCAAATTGCAGGATCCGTTGTTTGATATGTAAGCTACTTGGGACACGCGCCTATGGCATGATGTGCAGGAGAACCATACAAGGAAGAAGGGCAACAGCTACAGGCTCGAATGGGACATGGGGAGTCGGGAACGAAGAGCAGGAAATAGACGCGCGGGAAGCCCACTGTGCTGGGTCCCTCAGCAGGCCTCGAAATTGGCGACAGTTTCACAGATCGCAGCCCCCTAGGGATGGCGAGGTCCCATTTGAATCTGCGGTGGGTACCCACTGTGCTGCCCCCCCCAGCAGCCCTCGAACGTGGCGACAGTTTCACAGATCGCAGCCCCCCAGGGATGGCGAGGTCCCATTTGAATCTGCGGTGGGTACCCACTGTGCTGGGCCCCCCAGCACCACAGCGGAATTGGGGGACACGCGGATCGCGCCGGGACCTCGCGGCTCCCTGCGGGGGGAGCTGCCAACTGCGCAACTGTCGGCACTTTCGTGGGCTCCTGGGAGGCCCAGCGGAGTTGGGGTGCACGCAGATCGCGCCGAGACCTCGCGGCTCCCCGCGGGGGGAGCTGCCGACTGCGCAACTGTCGGCACTTTCGTGGGCTCCTGGGAGGCCCAGCGGAATTGGGGGACACGCGGATCGCGCCGGGACCTCGCGGCTCCCTGCGGGGGGAGCTGCCAACTGCGCAACTGTCGGCACTTTCGTGGGCTCCTGGGAGGCCCAGTGGAGTGTGGGGACGCGCAGATCGCGCCGGGACCTCGCGGCTCCCTGCGGGGGGAGCTGCAAACTGTGCAACTGTCGGCACTTTCGTGTGGGCTCCTGAGAGGCCCAGCGGAGTGGGGTTACACGCGGATCGCGTTGGGACCTCGCGGCTCCCTGCGGGGGGAGCTGCCGACTGCGCAACTGTCGGCACTTTCGTGGGCTCCTGGGAGGCCCAGCTGAGTTGGGGTACGCGCAGATCGCGCCGAGACCTCGCGGCTCCCTGCGGGGGGAGCTGCCGACTGCGCAACTGTCGGCACTTTCGTGGGCTCCTGAGAGGCCCAGCGGAGTGGGGTTACACGCGGATCGCG